ACGGCACAATGATCGCGTGGACAAAAGATCGTATGCGCAAAAGATCGTCAGTGAAAATGATCGTGTTTCAAAAGCTCGTAATGAGATAAAGATCGTAAAGTCAAGATATGGTATTTACATGGTGCAACCCAACTCCAGCGCATACAAAGCTTATCAATTTCTGTGTTCGTGTCGTAAGTGGCCGTCGTAAGCTCGACCATACGTTGATGTTGTGTCAGATCTTAGGTGGCTCAATGGCACCTAAAAGCAACGCGTTGTATATGTGCCGAATAAATGAAAGTAAGTTCACTTTCAACTAGTTTCTGACCAATGATCGGTCCTTAATAGGTATTCGGTTCCATACCTATATCGGATATATCGTAAGAAAACTACAAAGAGTCGCAAATCTATAATTTGGCATCTGACGTTACTGTGACGTCATTTGAAATGCAATCGACATTAAAGGGACCCTCCCACCTTAACATTAGATTTGAGATAGCCAAAATGGGGTCCCTGGCTCACAATTACCGGTTTCGGCACTCACAACATCGAGAAATGCCTTAAATCGGAAATATTGAATTTCAAAATTGCAGCATTTTGATTCAGAGGGGCTAATGCTTAGGAATACCCCTCTGAATGTGTGACGTCAGCGCAGATATCTAACGATTTTTAAATGTTTGACTAAAACGTTTTGTAGCACGCGGTGGTATGTGCTATTTGCGCGCAACATCTGCCGCAAACGCCGCACTTCTAAAATAAAGTCGCTAGAAACAGCGGAGATCCCAAAAAAGTAAACAAAAGTAAAAGTCTAATATCTTGAAAACCGGTGAATATTTTTCGGTGAAATTTGGTAGATATTCGTTTTCGCTCTTTCTGAACCGAGCGACATCACTTTCATGCCAATTCATAAACTTTTTTGAAGGTGGGAGGGTCCCTTTAAATTTGGACACAACCTCGGCCAGGTATTCAGAAAGACGTGTGCAAAGTTTCGCTTCTCAATCTCTTCGCGTTGCGACGATATCGTCGCAGAAGTAAAGGGGGCAACTATTTGCCCCCCCCCCCAGTGCAGTGGTCGGCAGGTGGCGCGGAGCAATGCCACTCGCTGCACCCGGTAGGGGGGGGGGAGTCTCGGGAGCAACAAAAGGTGGCAGCAACCTGAAAATTTTACGACCACCTTTTACTCCTAAAATGTTGTCGATATTCCGCAACCACGATTGCAAATCTTGAAACAAGTTCTACACGATTGCTATTGATTTATCGATGTCCGATGTAATCCACTATATAAATAGTACGACATTATTGGTAACATGTGAAATATGATGACCCTCTTTGGCATAGGGGGCACGCCCAGCCGTGAGGGGCACACCTATGTCTGTGATCCCCAGTTTTTTTTTTTGGGGGGGGGAGGGAAATCCACACCCTTGCTCTAGCATCGAAACCCATGGTAGTCAACTAGTCACACTCATAATTGTGGATTTCTTGGTTCTTAGGTGTTGTTTTTATCCGCTGGGACTGAGAGCGTGAGATGATGTTTTTCGTACTCCAGCGTAGATGGGTAGCCATACGGCTTCCACGGTTGACAGTGATGACATCAATCATCTTTTGCAAACTCGTTAAAGATTTGGGCTGTACGGGGATTCGAACCCCGGGCCTTTGGATTAGCGCTCCAATGCTCTACCTCTGAGCTATACAGACCAAATACTTTAACGAGCTTTCTGCCAAGATTTATGCGGATCATTCTTAGGTGTTGTTTTTATCCGCTGGGACTGAGAGCGTGAGATGATGTTTTTCGTACTCCAGCGTAGATGGGTAGCCATACGGCTTCCACGGTTGACAGTGATGACATCAATCATCTTTTGCAAACTCGTTAAAGATTTGGGCTGTACGGGGATTCGAACCCCGGGCCTTTGGATTAGCGCTCCAATGCTCTACCTCTGAGCTATACAGACCAAATACTTTAACGAGCTTTCTGCCAAGATTTATGCGGATCATTCTTAGGTGTTGTTTTTATCCGCTGGGACTGAGAGCGTGAGATGATGTTTTTCGTACTCCAGCGTAGATGGGTAGCCATACGGCTTCCACGGTTGACAGTGATGACATCAATCATCTTTTGCAAACTCGTTAAAGATTTGGGCTGTACGGGGATTCGAACCCCGGGCCTTTGGATTAGCGCTCCAATGCTCTACCTCTGAGCTATACATTTAGATTGTAGGAATACATAGATTTCTATGTATATCTACATTTAGATTGTAGATATACATAGATTTCTTGGTATAATTGTGGGCATGTCAAATTTAAAAGTTGGTGGATATCATGTCGTCATAAATATTCCTAATTTTTATATCTCGGATTCCTTTTATAGGTGACCTAAGCATGGGTGTGTAGGGTAATATCATTGGGGGAATGCTAGCTTGAGCACCCCCAATAAGACAATTGAGCACCCCAACAGGGACACCCCACTGGCCACAGCGGCACACCCAAACGTGGCGATTTTTCGTAAAATATTTTGTGACTAACGCTCTTTATCCTATACAATAACTTGCTACAATATTATTCTTCACGATTATTTACTTGAAGAACTTTGCGTAACGGTCGTGCGATCTTTTACAACATACGATTTTTATCTTACAATCATTCACCCACGATCTTTTTCATACGACCCTTTGTTTCACGATCTTTAGCTTACGATACTTGGTCGTGCGATCTTTTGCGACATACGATCTTCATCTTACGATCATTTCTTACGACATTTTTCAATACTATCTTTTGATCTACGATCATTTGCTTACGATGTTTAGCCGTGCGATCTCTTGCGACATGCGATCTTCATATTACGATCATATTCCTACAATCTCCTTTCATACGGCCATTTTTTACGATCTTTGGCGGACAATTTTTTCGTCGTGCGATCTTCTACAACATACGATCTTTATCTTACGATCATTTTCCTACGATCTTTTTCCATACGATCTTTTGTCCTACGATCTTTTGTCACGTAATCATATAATACTTTCAATAACAAAAAAAAAAATGTTATATGCAGGTTTCAAACACATTAGCTACGTGTAAAGCATTTGGTATAGGTACATAGCTGTTGAGTTTATGCAGGCTTGTACTTGACAAACGTTGACAATGCGAATTGCGAGCGATTCACTTGACGGGTCGGCTCACGGTATGTGTTTGACCAGCGTTCACTATTACTGGCCTCAGGGGCCTTATTAGTCAATGCGAGGGCATCTGATCTATGTAGGTACCTACCCGTCAAATGAACAACTATAAGCTTCATCAATATAGTAAATTTGCGACTCGTCGGCGGTCACAACCGCAACAAGCACTAGAGCACTTAAATTCACATTGCGCACAGCAAGAAACATCTCTCTCTCTCTCTCTCTCTCTCTCTCTCTCTCTCTCTCTCTCTCTCTCTCTCTCTCTCTCTCTCTCTCTCTCTCTCTCTCTCTCTCTCTCTCTCTCTCTCTCTCCTTCTCTCTCTCTCTCTCTCTCTCTCTCTCTCTCTCTCTCTCTCTCTCTCTCTCTCTCTCTCTCCCTCTCCCTCTCTCTCTCTATCTATCTATCTCTCTATCTTTCTCTCTCCTTTTTCTTTCTCCCTCTTTCTCTCGCTCTCTCTCTCTCTCACACTAGGGGAAGTTGGGGGAACGCCGAAGACTTTTTTTCTGACGCCCGTAGCACGCAAGGTAGACAACATAAGCTATTCTTGTTGGCGTCATTCGAGAGGCCAGTCTTTTGCCTTTCAAACATACCAGGCGCATTTGATGAATTCGCATACCGTTAAGCGCACAAACTAAAAATATCAAAGAAGTGACTTTTTCGGCGTTGCCCCGGACTGCGGGGAAAGCCGAAAATGGGAGAAATGATCTACGGGGAATGCCGACATTGATGTTTTGCTATTTTATCTCAAACTTTATCCAGAATTCATCAAAGCTGACACGCGTTTTAAGAGCTTGAGGACGCGGTGCACACTGGAAGTTATAATTGTGTGATATAATAAGAACATGCCAGGTAAATCATTCCTTATAGGTAACAGGCCGTTGTGTCGGTTGAAAGTGTAATTTGTGTGACTAAAAATACGCGTTGCTATTCTACAGCAGTAAAGTCCACGTAGCGTGCTTTTAACACGTGCGTAATCGCACGTTTTCGGCATTACCCCAGCCTGCCATACTTTCATTTGCAGGCCCATAACTTTTCAACGTGCTGTATAAATTTCAAATAGGCAGCACACTTATGCAAAGACATGCTAAAGATTACTTGACCGAATTGGCCAGACAAACGGTAGCATAATGAGTAAGAAATGCAGCTTCAAAGGCGCATGTAGGACAAGGGAAACGTACCTTGAAAACGCTCTTGGCGCCCTCACAGTCGAAGTATTCCGAATGACGACTCGTAACAAACATGCGATAATTGTAGTCACTTAAGCTTCAGAGCATCACTGACAGGTGGCATCCATGTCTTACGGTTTTCGAAATATCTCGAATTTCGGCTTTGCCCCAACTCGGGCATTGCCCCAACTTCCCCTACAACAGAGCCTTGGAAAGCTGGGTCAAATCAATTCCGTTCATTTTACTAATCAACTGTTATTGGAGTGAACACCCAATCCAGGCGCTATCACACTACACCGGTCAATCAACCACATCTGTACAAAAGGGACCAAAACACTAGATACTTCGACGAATTCCTGATGAGCTTAGGACACTGAGCGAAAGCTACTCTTGATGGAGACCTATCGTAGCCAGCAATGCTAATCTGTTGATAAACGTTTGCTTAATGACAAAAAGTGTTGAACTCTGATCTAGCTCTGCCCCTCTGCCGGTGCCATCTGCACAGTGCGGCGGGCGGCGGCGCGGCTGGAGTCTGGGCCGCTCTGTCCGCTCCGGGCGTGTGCCACACCCACTCTGCCCGGCATCGACCTCCCGCCCCCCCCCCTCCCGCCGGCGGTCGGCGCCTGCGCCGGGGGGGGGGGTCTGCCTCCGACCGTCGTCGGTGACCGCCGGCGCCGCTGTGCCAGCAGTCAGCTGTCGGCCCGGGCTGATGACACAGCGACCATCAGCGCCGTGAGACTGCAGAGCAGCGCCGTGCCGCGCCAGCCGCCGTCATGGGGTGGTTCCAGGATAACCTGATCGCCTACAAACTCCAGTACTTCCTCAACTTTGGAGGTAGGTCAGCTGCACCGCGATGGTGTATGCGGATTCTTATGACAGAATGTGCATTTGCTATATACCTAGCATAAAACTCATTTTCTCACATTTGAGCATTGGTGGACATTTAGGAAAAGCCGTTTTCACGACGGAACATCTGGCCAATGCACCAAACGTGACCAACTATGCACCAAATCTCTTTTTCAACAGATATCTTCATATCAAGAACTTATTTCAGTGTTTTAATCGAAAAAATGTCTGAAAGTTTGGAAAATCAGGTATATAAGCAACTGTGCAACCGAAACTGTAAATTCGAAGGAACACAACAAGCTAATTTGACCAAATCTGCACCAAATCTGCACCAAATCACACTTGTGAACCAAATGTTTACCAAATAGCTATCGTGAAAACGGCTAATACCTACCTTCGTTGGCTTCGATATGATAAACTATTTACCACATCTTAAACTAATAATTAGGTATTAGGCATTCACTAAAACCATTTAATTGCTATCTCCAGTCCATATCTTATCTACATTTGGTATTTATCACCAACCCAACGGATATAATACCAGCAAAACGCATTTTGGGCAAAGAACGAGCGAGCACGAGAGGGCCCTGCACGTGTGGAAGAGCGAGTGGATACTTCTGTGATTTAAGTGGTCCCTGTGTGTGTACCCAAGTGTTTCTCCCAAGTGTTTTAGTTGCGTTACGTCTAGGGGATTCGTAGATAAAATGTCTGCTGCCACACCGAGTGCTTTAATTACGTTACGTCTAGGGGATTCGTAGATAAAATGTCTGCTGCCACCCGCGATGATAGTTCACCCGGCCTACTGATCTCTGCCCAACACACCCGTCCCTCTGCCCCTCTGTACCATCCATCACACCATCACACAAAGACACGTACAGTGGGCTAAAATATATTCGAACAGGCCGAAAAGGGTAAACGTCAATAATTGAACAATTGCCTGGAGTCCTTAGAAGCTAAAAAGTAAACGTTGCCGAAAAAGGCGGACTCAGGCTGAGAATACCCGGTATATGTTACCGTGGTAGTAAATAAAAGTGGCCGAAATAGGGTGCTAAAAAACACATAACCGAACAATATGCCGAAGCACAAGGTTACCGAAAACAGAATGACCGAAACAGTGTCAAGACAGTGCCGAACAAGTATTCGGAACGGAATGGGCCGAAACAGTGCCGAACAAGTTGCCAAAACAGTGCCAAAAGTAATCGAAACAGAATGTCGAAACAGTGCCAAACCAAAATGGCAAAATCACCAAAGTGTAGAGCGCTTATTGGTCGCTCGATTATGTACCGAGCTCTTCGGTTGTTTGGGGTGGGTAAAGCTGAGCCTTGGCATCGGGGGAGTGTTTGTTGGTGGCTCCATCCGTAGGCCGTAGTCTTGCGCTCTGAAAAAGGGAGAAGTTAAACGGACACGATAACGCCGTGTAGTTTATCGGCCCGGTTCACCTGTTGTTGTTGTTGTTGACTCCCCACGTAGCGGTCGCTACGTAGCCTCCCGGCTCTGGAGGTACCTGGCGGCGGCCCCCAGGGCCGCCACCACGCCGCTGCTCCGGACCTCCTCCTCCCTCGGGTATATGTTGCCTAGGTGTCGTAGGCGTAGTCGCATCAGTGCTGGGCAGCGTAGCAGGATGTGTTCTGGCGTGTCCGCCTCCCCCTCGCCACAGCAGCGGCAGCCGGCCGCCCGGCACGCCAGCGAGTTACACTGTGCGCAGTCCCGGCCGGGGTTCCTGCCGATCCGATGCAGGTACTGCGCAGATCCCGACCAGTGACCAGCGCGCAGTTGGTGCACATCAACCGCCACCTCGCGTGGTGTAGTGCTGGGTAGCGGTGCGGGTAGGTGGCCGTCCATCAGCCGCCTGTACCAGCCGTCCGGCCAGTTGTTGGTCGCCTCCTTTCTGGCGATCCGGGACGCCGCACGGTACACTGTGCGGACGTCGACCGGGACTCCCTGCTGTGGGAGGGCGGCGGCTTCCTTGGCGATGGCGTCCACCCGCTCATTTCCTTCCAGCTCGCAGTGGGACGGCACCCATTGCAGGTGGACTCTTCGGTCCCCATCAGCCACCAGTGCCGCCATGTGCTCCCAGATGGCGGCACCTAGAGGGGACGTCTGGGCCGCTGGTCCTCCCTTCAGCGTCGCAAGTGACGCCTGTGAGTCGGAGCATATGATTATATCCTGCTCGAGGGGTGGGTGCTCCAGGAGATGTTGTACTGCCGTCTTCAGCGCCACCATCTCAGCCCGGTAGCTAGAGCATATTTTCCCCGCCGCCTCTCGCAGAACTTCAGTCGTTCCGTCTGGGTGCTCGATGAGGACCCCGGCGCCGCCATCCGTCACTCCGCCGGTCGCCGACCCGTCGGTCCAAGCCCACGTCGCACACTGGGGGAGCGCTCCCAAGCACGCCTCCGCAGCGCTTCTCCTCATCGACGCGGTCGCTCCGACCGGGAGCGGGCCGACGTCCAGGCGGATCGACACGTTTTCCGTCGCTGTCCACGGGGGCGGTCTCGTGGCTAGGCGAGCTTCGACGGGCAACTCCACGCCCGCGCGGTCCCACACCGCTCTCCCGCGGTCTCTCCATCCGGTCACGGACTTGAGACGCGGCACGGGGGCCGCTACTGCTACGGCGTGCAGCGGATCCTCCGGCGGTAGAGAGTGCGCTTTCGCCAGCAGGCGTGCTGCCAGCGCATCCCTCCTCGCCGCCATCGGCACGACGCCCGCCTCTGCTCTCACAGCGTGTCTCGGGGTGGAGATCGGACAGCCGGTGATGGTGCGTGCCGCCGCCAACATCTCCACTTCCAAGACGCCGAGATGCGTTGTCGCAGCCGCAGGCAGCCACGCCGCCGCCGCGTGTTCTATGGCGCCGCGGACGTATCCGTTAGCTACCGTCCGGAGGAGCCTCTCGCCGAGCCCCCACGACCTTCCGGTGAGCTGTCTGAGTTGGTTGATTCTTGGTCTTGTCTTTCTTCGTAGACGACGGCAGTGCGGCCCGAAGTGCAGGAGTCTGTCCAATGTGACGCCCAGAAGGTGGAGAGTCTCCCGCGCCTCGACCGTGCTACCGGCTACCTTGATGCGGCAGTCCTTGGCGTCCTTGGCTTGCTGCGAGAGAACCAGAAGTTGGGTCTTCTCGCCGGAGACTCTCATCTTGGATTCGCGCGCCCACCTTGTTAGCGCGTCGGCTGCCCTCTGGGCCCTCTCCCTCGCCACTTCAATGGTGTTGCCCGCGCAGAGCACCGCCGTGTCATCCGCATACATGTAGGGTGTGCATCCGGGGATCTTCTTGATGACCTCCACCAGCGGCGCCGCCCATAACACAAACAAGCTGGGCGACAGCACGCTGCCCTGGGGTAGTCCGGCGCGGAAGACCCGCTCACCGGAGAGATCCCCGCGAACCTCCACTCTCGTCCTTCGGTCTCTCAGCCACTGCCACACCCAGCGGACAAGACACAGCGGCAGTCCCTGTTCGGTCAGGCTGAGCCGGAGGAGGCGGTGGTCCACTACATCATACGCTCGGGCAAAGTCAAAGGCCACGAGGACGTATTTCTGTGCCACGCTTCCATCAGGCCTCCTCGCCGCCGTTCTTCGATCGACCGCCGGTCGCTGCCATCCGTCCTGCACCTCTTGGACGAGGCGGCCGATGTTGTCCTCCACCGACCGCCCCGCTCGGAAACCCGTCTGTTCTGGAGGGAGCAACCCTCGGCTTTCCGCGAAGTAGGTAAGTCGGGCCAAGATCATGCGCTCCAACAGCTTGCTCAGGTTGCTGGTGAGTGCTATCGGCCTGTAGCTGCCCAAGAGCCTCTTGTCCTTGCCGGCTTTCGGAATCGGTATCACCGTCGCGACGCGCCACTCTTTCGGGACCTCTCCGGAGCTCCACGAACTGTTAAAGGTTCTGAGGAGTTCTTTCTTGGCGATCGGGCCGAGGTGGCGGAGCATCTCGTTGGAGATACCGTCAGGGCCCGGTGTTTTCTTCAGCTTGGTTTCCACGATCTGGGCGTTGAGCTCAGCCAGGGAGAAGGGCGCGCACATCTCTGTTCGCCGGTCTCGGCACTCACATAACCGTGCCGCCGGTTGAGACAACTTGCGCTTTGCGGTGAGGTCGACCTTCTTGTTTCTGACATGACGCGAGACTTGCGCGTATGTCTTAACGAAGGCGTTAGCTTTCTGCTTGTCCGTAACCAGAAGCTTTTTGTCGTCGTCCATCATCGCCTGGCCGTCTCGGTGCTCATCGTCGGTCGCTCCTTCCCACTTTTTCAGAATCTTGGAAACCCTTCCGAGGCTTGCTGGGCGATTCAGTGTCGTTCCCACAAACTCGTGGAACTGCTCTCTGGAGACCCGTCCCTCAACCTCGGCGGCGCGCTGCTTTGCTGCGATCCAGCGCGTCCGACTGTCCGGGTCGTCGGGTCGGATCTCACGTCTGGCAGCTTGACGGTCACGGATGGCTTCTTGCAGGTCAGGATGGAGGGCCCACGGTCGGGGGTCCGCTCGCGCTCCTTTCGGAATGTGTCGCTTGGCCGCGTTCTGGATGGTTTCCGTCAGGCGTGTGGCGGCCTCCTGAGCCGTCCGCGTCGGCACCGCCCCGGTCAGGGCAGCCTCGCAGTCGTCCTGGAAGGCTCGCCAGTCCGCCTTGTGGTGAGCCCATCTGGCCTTCCTCTTCCTCTGAGGACGCGCGTCGGATGCCCGGATGGTGATCTTCATCGGTAGGTGATCGCTGCCGAGGTCTTGACCAACTTCCCAGGTCGATCTGCGCGCCATCATCTCGCCGCACACCGCGAGGTCCGGTGCGGAGTGACTACCAGAGCGGTAGCTGGTGAATGTCGGCTCTCCAGAGTTTAGAGGCCGCCATCCGATGTCGTCCAGCCAGTCCGCCACTCGCTGTCCCACCTCGTCCGGCCCATCGCAGGCGGCGTCCCACAGGGGGTGGTGCGCATTAAAGTCCCCCAGGACCAGCGTTTTGTCGTCTGTCGGGATGGACGCTGGGTCGAAGTTGTCGGCACGATCGTCTCCCGTCGCCCGGATCGGCGGTCTGTATATGTTGATGACAGTCAGGTAGGGTCGTCCATCCATTCCTCCGTCCAGCAGCCGGATCCCACAGATCTCCGTCGTATCGTCGGCAGCCGTCGTCATCTGGTCGTCGATGATCTCGAAGTGTCGACCGGCTCTGACGTACAGGGCCACGTCTCCACCCTTGACGACCGTTGCGCCCGTGACTCTTCCGCGTGCCCTACGCACCACCACCGGCGGCTGGTACCCCGGCAGTCTTGGAGCGATCTTCGGGAGCTGAGCCTCTTGAACGGCCAGTACGTCAGCTTTGACCGCGGGAAGCCAGCGTTGGAGCTCTCCGACCTTCTTGCGGAGCCCTTCCGCATTCCACGACACCACGGTCGTGTGGCTTCTTCCTGCTCGGTTGCGACGGTACCTCCTGTTCTTCGCTCTCCGATGACCGCTGCCCAGCGCCGCCGGCGGTGGCGCCCCTCCGTCGGCGCTCACGGAGGGGGGCGCGGGGCGCCGGCTAGTCATCTAGCGGGCCGGGGCCGGCGTACGGCCCGCCGGCTCCCGGTCCCGCTGGTGAACATCCGCTGTTCTGGGCGAAGGTTGTCCCGGTGATGATGGTAGTGAGGTCCGAGAGCAGCAGCAGCGGCGGCGGCCGGGGGGCCACCGCCAGGCGCCCCTCCGGATGGGGCACCAAGGACTCCGTTTGGTTGCCCCCCGGCCGCTGTCGTGGGCCCGAAGGTCCCGGCCGGGGGCGGGCCCGGAGGCCCACACCTCCCACCCCTTGAAGGCGGAGTCCACCAGGCACCCGGTTCACCTCGTACGTACTATGGGCCTGTGGAAAGTGCTAGGGGAAACTGTAAAACCTGTAAAGAATACTAGGGTAGCTTGGTGAATAGCCTGGGCCTGTTGTCGCCGGAATCAGTATCTGTAAATAGAGAACGTTAGTGGGGATGAGGTATGACCTCAGCTTTGGTCGGCCGTGCCGACCAAAGGTGAGGTGACTTAAGACTTACATTGTTGGGTTGCTGGTGGAGCGTTCAGTCGAGTCGGAGCACTGCACAGTAGGCCGGACTGGAGCGAGAGTGACGCTGGCTTGGAGGTTAGCCCTTTTATACGCCTCCAGCAGCCGTTCTCGCATACATTATCGCTTGTTGTCAACCCACGCCTTCCTCGTTTATCTCGGTCTGACCTCGGTCTACCCTTCTCCCGTCTGTCCCAACGTTGTTTTTTATCAGGGTTTGTCTGCTTCTAATCTGCATATCCGCCACCACACTACCGCGCTATTTTATGGTGCTATTGTCTACTTCTAATCTCCTTTACGCATACCCATCACCACAATATCCACCACCACAAACAGGTTGCACATTGTCATTGTGTTCTTCTCTCGTTGTTTTTTGGTCAGGGTCGGCTTCTCTGCTGCGGTGTGGCACAATGTTGTATGTGGCAAGTGAGGTCGACACACACACACACACACACATTACAAGGCAGCAGTGCATACAGTTTAACTAGACCGAAGCGCTATTTTTTCACATCCCTCCCTATTTTATAAAGATGCACGGACTTCCTCCTTTGGGGTCAAAAATCGTCGTTGCGCCGCTACGGGTCTCAAGTTGTCCAGTCTGTCCAGTCATGTCGTGCGCGGATGGGAAGTAAGGATAGCTACGAAGGATGCCTGGAGATATCCGGAAGAGAGCTCTATTCGCCAAAGTCCTATCCAGTGTTTGTTCCTTGCCCTTACATTCTTTCCATCTTTGGGTTACTCCTAATCACGGTTTGTACGCGACGCGATTGATATACCTTATATAATAAAGCCAATCTTAAGATCTTGTAGTCATTTAGTTGCCGATAGTGGATAGATCCTCTGTCACAAAAGATGCTAATCTGAATCATCTGGGAACCATATTCACCTTCTGTTGACCACTCTGCTGATTTTAGGACCGTCAAGGGAGGATAAGTTTTTGGGATACCCGTTGGAGTCAGACGTGAAGCAAATTTTCAGCTGCGCGACCACGCTGTGCCGACCGACCACGCTGTGCCTACCGACCGCTCTCAAGATTGCCACTTACTTCGGGGGCGAATGCGTCGAGGGGGTGTGATCGGTTGCCTCGGTTGTCACAGAGGCGCTGTCTCCCGTCGTCGAGTGGTACTCGGAATCAAACCGAGAGCAAAAGGGCTACGAAGTGACTGCTGGGGATGAAGCCAACCTGTCGGCCGAGAGATCTGGACTCGGTGTGGACCCTATTGGGTATCCTTGATACCGCTGTTGAGCTGCCAGGACAGCCACCGGTGCCAATGCGAATACCTGAGGGCATCGAGAGGGGCCGGTTGATGTAAACCTCATGGCTATGTCGTGGGCTCAAGAGTCGAGACGGTTCTGAACCGAAGCGATCTGGTCTGCACACTCTAACGTTCATCATTGGTGATGACGTTATGGATCCTCATGGATCTCGTCTCAAGGCTTCTCAAGGCTGATACTCCAACCCTCTGCAGTTTTAGAGCACCAACGAGCTCAAGGTTGATCGTTGTACTCACCTCGACTCAGAATATAGCCGACCGTCTGCTAGACCTTTAGCAAGTGAGCACTTCCCGTCGTCGTATCAAGGAGTTCTTACACGGTAACGTCCATGGTTCGGCGTCGCCGACGTCGAGACCTCACTAGGCGGTGACTTTCTGGAGCCTCGGTCGGTGAGCCCATCAGGTCCTTCACACGGCGATGTAGCTTCCACATCGCTACGGACAACAGCATAACGGTCACCAAGTTCAACGTAAGTAACCCGGTGAATCCGGTGATCTGGCTCTGCGGGTTTGATATCCATCTGTAGGGATGATAAGGAGACAATTGATTTTGGAGTGCCTCATACTGCTGAATGGTTTTGTTAAAGGTTCTGAGCCTCATCGCATCTTTACCGATATCTGTGGTTTCAGTGAGATGGTTCAAGAAGGACGAGATGTTTACGGGAGGCGTCAACATTGATGTGATATTACTCCAGAGACTCATGGAAAAGTTAAGCGAGAAAAGATCCACTATCGGTGCATCTGGCAGACTGATCCTAAATTGCCCCTTACCGTTGACGTAACTGGGAACCCTAATTGACCCGAGGGATGCTTCGCATCCCGGCTGTAAGCGGAACATACCGGTACCGGTCAGCTCATATTGCCCGGCGGGGTGGTGAGGAGGAGCACTCGTCCTGCTCTGGTTAGAGCAGCGGACCAGTAGCGTTCCTTTTGCTGCTCCATATAACCACACTCCCATACCAACGTGGCGAAACATCGGCCCATCGTGGTATTGCACCTGTGTCGGGCAGCTGGTTCCGGTCGGCTGGTCTGAAAACAGATCATACAAACAACGGCTTTCTTGAGATCGAGGCGACTGTACTGCTTCCTTGAGCGCACAAACCCTAGGGCTTTTCCCTTTACACTGTGCCTCGCGACGATTTGTCATGGTGAAGAAGTTGCCTGGACTGCCGGGCTGTGTCGTGAAAAAATCGGATCCTGATTTCTGAATGGCCAAATAAGGGGAGTCAAATCGGTAGGAAAAGAAGAGCTTCTCCGGGAACTTCGGGTGAACCACAGGCATTGCGATGGCTTCGTAGAGCTGATACCTACCAGACTCCTTGATGATTGGGATCGCCATGCAAAAATTGACCCCGCCCTCCGTTTGGTGGGTTTCCGTGGTTATGTAACGAAGGTAGGAATAATGGTCGTCTGTTTCATACAAAAGTTTCCATCCGACTGGAAGATGTTGTCCTAAGTTTAACAGGATATCTCTGAAGACCTTATCCTCCAGTAGTTCCCAGGCTAGAGCTCCTTCACCTGCTTGGGCAACAATGCGCTGTATGGTATAAAGACCCTTTTGGGACTGGGCCAGACCCTCGCGAATTAAGTCAGCCGCTATCACAAGCTCTAATCCTGCGGTAGCATGTGCCACTCCTATACTGAGCCGACTGTCCACGGTCTGAATTTGGCTTAGAGCGGCTGTCACCCCGTTAATTGAAGCTTTGATTCGAATGACTTCTTCTCCGTTGTGGAGAGTTTGTGAAGCTACAGTTTTAACATAACTGAACTGTTGGTCAACACGGTGAGATATATTTTCAGTTTGGTTGGCCAGTGAAGCGATTTGTGCCGACTGACTTTCAATGTCTCTCTCGGTACTAAATCCAAACAAATATTTTCCAACGTCACTTACGATGTTAACTAAGCCGCGACGTTGCCGGGCGTCATTCTCCCGGATAGTTCGTTTAACAGAATTGAGAGTTTGTTGGTAGGCGCTAAGGTCCTCTTTGAAGGCGGTGGAGAATTTCTTCCACGTGGCCGTCAATGCGTCTATCACTGGAACTTTGTCGGACTCGACCTGGCCCCTCACGGCTTGTAGATGCTGCTCTACCCGAGATATCTGTTCCAGGAGGGAGGTATGGGCTTGCTCATACGTCACCAAGCTGATGGTGGTGCAGATTGTCCAGTCAGAACCCGTGATTATGACTTCACCCAGGGGCTGGAAGTACACCCCGTGATGAAGTTGTATCTTCGCCTGGTTTTGGTCCCCTCCGACGTCTCGGGACAACAGCAGTAGCCAGACCAAATACACCAGCCGCCTAAAACAAAACGGGTAGGATCAATCGCTAGTGGATGAGTAGGGTCACTGGTCAGCATGGGTTAAGGGGAAAAACGTTGAGGTGCTTGACGCCTTCTGCTCGACCTTCGAGGGGCGACAGGCGGTGAGGGAATCGTCATATAGTAGCCGTCATCATCAGGGGTTTCCGAATCAGCTGTCTCTAATGTCTCGGAACTATCTGAGCTCAGTCTATTGGTTCCTAAGGTCTCCAATACATTAGTCACCCCGCTGTCTGACCCTGTCCTGTCTGACCTTGTCAGAGGTCTGGTCCTTTCTGGTCTGGGCAGAGCTAGTCCAACCAAGTCTGTGTCCTGTTCGTCGTCCGGTCCTGACTCACTAACATCGCTACTATCGACTGAGGGAGCCTGATCCCTCCTGAATGTATGGACTTTCCTCAAGGCGTCCCGATACACAGATGAGACATGCTGGGGTTTGAGACGGTCACAATGCACTTTCTCTGGGGGATGCTTCGAGCCTGGTTTCCTTACCTCGTACGTGAGACCATTGTCGTGAAGTCCCACTACCACGTATCCAGGTTCCCATTTCTTTGTCAGTTTTGAAGCATCTCCTGGTTTGACGGCAGGACGATATAGGTAGACCAGATCTCCGAGCTCGTACTTCTTGTCTCGTGCTCGTCGGTTGTAGTAGTCTCGTTGGTATCGTCTCGCGGTCTTCTGGTTCTCGATCGTTTTGCTGATAGCGTCGTACTGCCGCTCCTTTAACTGGGTCACCAGGTCAGAAAGTTCTGCGGAATAGTCGGGTGGTTTTGATGCCAGCGCTTGTTCTATCGGCAACCTAAACTGTCTGCCGTACATCAGGAATGCTGGGCTCCAGCGGTTGCTGGTTTGGAACGTGGAGTTCACCGCGTACTGGGATGCACCCAGGAATACGTGCCATTCTCGCTGCGTTCGATCTAGCGCCGTGGCTAGCATGGTTTTCACTACTCCACACATCCGTTCTACATTGGAGTTAGCTTGGCTGTGATAGGCAGAAATGAAAACATGTCGGACATCAAGTAACCGGTTGATTTCAGCAAGGAGCGACGCACGGTATTGGGGACCGTTGTCTGACACCAGGTAGCAGGGGATGCCGTATCGGAAAAAAGTTGCGACCAGGGCTTGGGCAACCGTTTCGGCTGTGGTGTCCTGTAGAGGAACGAGCTCCACGAACTTGGTGAAGGCGCACACGATCAAAAGGATCCAACGGTAACCTTGAGGGGTTTCGGGGAGAGGACCCATGATGTCGGTGTGAACCGTTTCCCATGGTCCATATGTGACTGGGGTCTTACCCAGAGGGGCATGGAGTGCCCGCCGGTTGCGTTTCGTGCTGTGGCATTTGACACAACTGTCACAGTAGGCTTTCACATCTGACGTCATCGAAGGCCAATAGAATTGTCTGCTCAGGTGTTCCTGTACAGCCCTTGCATGGTAATGGCCTGCCAAAGGATGGCTATGATGCTCTGCAATTAGCTGAGGGGTCATCTCACGGGGTACCACCACTCGTACTGGGTCAGCCTCGGTGGGTTGATAACATAGGATTCCCTCGCTATTCAAGTGATACGACGGTAGGTCACGCCAGAGGCGACGGTTGCCTCGGACTCGTTTCCCTTCCAACGTTTCAATCAATGGTATCCACAATGGGTCTGACCTTTGCAGTCTGGCGATCTCCGACAGATGGTTGTCCAGAGTTGACTCCGCCTCGGGAGAGGCTGCGCGCTGTGGAGTGACTCTGGGAGTTGTCGGAGGCGCTGCTACACGTGAGGTCTCCGAGAGGACGGATCCAGTCCTCCTGCGGGCCCCGGTGGGTCGACCAGAGGTTTTCGTTGTGGTTCGAGGTCCTGATGATGCAGCGGTCTGTTCGACGCCGTCTGCCGTGGCCTGGTCCCCGTCTTTCGAGGCCTGGTCCTCTGTTCCTGAAGTTGTCGAGAACAGGGCGGCTATACCGATGCCGATGTCAGGGTCGTCGAGGGTTAGTTCTCGCTGAAGATCCTTCCAGTCGTCCTGTACCGCTCCGCGAGAAAGAGAGTCAGCCACGACATTCTTTGGACCAGGGACATATCGTATCGTCATGTTCAGACCTTGTAGTGCTAATTTCCACCGCTCCAGGCGGGTGTTTTGGACTCTACCTTTTTGGGCATGACTGAGGACATATTTGAGAGGGGCGTGATCGCTTTCCAGAACAAAGGATCGCCCATGTATGTAGTAATGGAATGCCTGAATACAAGAAACGATGGCCAACGCTTCTTTCTCAATAGTACTGTAATTTTTCTCTGCCTTGTTCAACGTACGTGAATAGAAGGCAATGGGACGCCTCTCACCTGTTTCTGTTTCCTGGCTGATCCATCCTCCCACACCTTTGTCACTTGCATCTGAAGCGACGATGAAGGGACGGTTAGGGGAGAAATCGGGATATGCCAGTACGTCGGAGTTGACCAGGGCATCTTTGAGAGCTTCAAATGCCGCGTTACACTCAGGGGTCCAGTTGAAGTGGATCCCTTTTCTCGTGAGAGCGTTAAGGGGTGTGGCAATTGTCGCGAAATTGGGGACATGTTTCCTAAAGTAAGAACACAATGCCACAAAGGATCTCACATCCTTCGCGTTCTGTGGGGTGGGATACTCCTTGATTGATCGAATCTTGGCAGGATTTGGAGCAACTCCACTTGGTCCGATATGTCGACCTAAGAACTTGAGACCCTCCGTTGAGAACAGATGCGTTTTTGAAGGTTTGAGTTTCAGGTTGTTCTCCCGTAACCGCCGAAGAACTCGTCGCCACGTTCCCAGATGATGCTCGAACGTTGGGCTGTACATGCACAGGTCGTCAATGAACAGAACCAGTCCTTCGTCGGCCAGGATATCGTCAAAGATTTCCATGCCAAGTCGTGCAAATGTGTATGGGCTCTCGGAGAGCCCCATGCTCAACACTCGAAATTCGAGCTTGTCCCATGGTAGGACAAAGGCGGTCTTGTGACGATCGCTTTCCTTGATGGGCACCTGATGGAAGGCGGCGGCCAAGTCAGACGAACTGAACCACTTCGGGTGGTTTTCACCTACCTTGGCCAGGAGTTCGTCTGGATTGGGAAGAGGAAACGTCCGCTTCTTGCTGATGGCGTTCAACTTTTGATAGTTGACACATAGTCGGAGGCTTTTGTCTGGTTTCTCCACCAGCACCACTGGTGAGCTGTATTCTGAATGACTTTTTTGAATCAATTTCTTGTCCAACATTTCCTGAATGATCTTCCTGACCTCAGGTTCTTGAGATTTCGGAATCCTGTAGGGTTGAGAAACGACTGGTTCGTCCGTCAGGGTCTTGATGTCATGCGTGATCCTGGTGCACAACCCCAAGGGATCGTGATCGAGGGCGAAGCAGTCTCGAAATTCCACCAGGAGGTTCTGGACTTGGGCTAGGTGGTTATCGTCCAGGTCTCCGTACTTGAATGCTGCTAGAAATTCTTTGTGATCCGATGGTTCCAAAGACGACCGTGTCTTCGTATCGCCTGAAGGGCTGGCTCTAGAGGGACACTCTTGTCTCTGTCTCACCTGTTGCACGGGAGGTCCTAGATGTGCTGTCACGACGGCGTGGTCCTGTGAAGCTGTGCCTGTCTCTTCACCAGGCGCTTCATCCGTGCTGGGGCTCAGCAGCTCAGAGAATGGTATGACTTGAGCCTGTGTGAGGAATCCCAGCGGCTCGTCATTCCGGAACTTGTAACTCCGGGAGGTGTAGTTGGCGATTCCGATCATGAGTCCTTCGCCGATTCGGTCGGCTTCAATGATGCAGCGCAGGGGCTTGACTGGCTCGTCCGCATTCTGGTTGTGCGGATGGAACTCCCAGGAGTCCTGAGGAGACGATTCGATGCGTTGAATCGTGTCGGGGTTAACCTGTGCTCGGATAAAAGTAACCGAGTGAGGGCTGACATGCTGATGTCTGCCTACCGCTGCCACAGGTATGATGGGCGAGCACGGTTGTTGTTGCTGTGAATCGAACAAACGGACGGGGTGCCCTCTGACATGGAGCAAGAAGTTGGAAAGATCATGATGAATCTGGTGTCTGGGCTCGGCCAAGAAGTCTAGCCCTATGATGGCTTCATATGGTCTGAGGTTTCTGACTATATGAAACAAGTGGGTCACCGTTAGCCCAGGAGCGAGAGAGAAGGTTACTTCTCCACATCCGATCAGCTCTAGTGCTTGACCGGTGACGGATTTCAATGACAGATCTGAGGTCACGATGGGGTTGTCACTGAGGGTTTTGTACGCATCGAAGTCGAGAAGCGAGTGAGACGCTCCGCTGTCTATGAGCGCATATACCTCCTGGCTACGGGCGGATAAAACTGTTAACTGGTGGGTGGCTGAGGACTCCGGCCCTGCGAGTTTTTTGAGCAGCGGTTAGCCGTGTGTCCGGGTAGTTTGCAGCACGCACACACGATGTTCGTGCACTCTTCAGCCCTGTGGTTCTCGTTACAGAAGGGACATTGCGGCTGAGGGCAGTGGCGAATCAGGTGATTCGGACTGTTGCATCGGTAACATCTCGGCTTTGACTCGTACCTGGGCTGGTTTCCAGCTGCTTGTCCATGGAAATCGGTTCGGAAGGGCCCATTCGGCTGGTTCTCTTCCTGGTTCCGACGAGTCTGGTAGGCTGGTCGCCGTCCTCGGCCTCCTCGTGCTGGGTTTCGAGCGCCTCCTCGACCACGGCCGGACTGGAATCGGGGCTGGTGGTTGTCGCTCCGGTCGCTGCTGTCATAAGATGCCTGACCTGCGTTGTCGCAATGATCTCCTAAGTCATTGAACATGGCGTTGATGGTTGACTTCCGGAAATACCTGGCGTTCACCTCTTCCATGTGAGCGGCGACACGGACAGCTTCCTCGAAGTCGCTGATCTGACGTTCTACTACAGGGCGACTCAGCATGGGTGGAAGGCCTGATATAAATTGTTCCAAGGCAATGCGGTTCAGAATGTTTTTCTGGGTGTCTCGCTGTTCAAGGGAACCGACATCGCTGGCTAACTCGGGGTATGCCAGTCGGGTCAAACGCTCAATTTCGTATGCGAACTTCCTTACCGGAGTGTCTCGTCCCATTCGTGCAGAGTGCAGTCTATTCACCTGGGTGGTTGGGTTGGTCACTCCTCCATATTGTTCTAGTAGCGCCTGTTTCACCCTGGTCCATGTGTACTGTGACGGACTTAGCCTATCACGCAAGCCTTCTAGGAACGGGATGACGTTGGTGTCTACTCGTAGAAATAGTAACGGCAGCAGTTCCTCATCCTGGATGTTGGTGATTTTTCTGAGGAGGTCCACTTTTTGAAGCCAATCACTGATCGCTTTGCCGTTATATTCCCCTTTGAACGAGAACAGGTGACGCAGAATAAAAGCGTCGGAATGACCGGTTCCCCGATCATCGGGATCTCTAAGTGCATGAAATTGGTGACCTCTAGTCTCATTCCCCGTCTCCCACTGTGATCGGGACTGACCTTGACCTGAAGCGTATGGTTCTAGCTGCGGAAGAGGGGGAGGTGGTCGTCCACCGATGCCGCCCAATGTGCTCCTTCCGGCTGCACCCGCACCGGGCGCCGTCTCGTACTCGTAGTATTCTTCCTCCGGGGCTGGCGGTGCGGTTGCGGTGGGGTTTCCCGCTGCACCCGCCTTTGCGTGTCCCTCGTCGTCCGATTTGACCATGCTAGAAAGAAACATCATTAGCATTGGTACTTTGTCGCTGGTACAAGTGGCCTATTGTCCCCACCACTGTACACCTGGCCCTTAAACCTAAGACGTGAGCTGGCCGAGAATACCACCCATACCCGGCCGGTGTATGTTCGCGGTGGGCATAGTTCCCCCAGAGGACCACCCTCTGCTATGCTAATACCTCTGGTAGAACGGTGGGGCAATCCCGAACTACCAGTTCTCCCCAGCTCCCACGCGTCCAGGTAGCGACGCCCGTCCTGCTCCCCGTGAACAGACGGTTTGACCTCGGTGGGCTACTTTCCTTGCCCGTCTCTCTGAAGCGTATACGAGCGGACAACGCACCCCGGCAGGTGACATGGTGCATACATATGTGGGATGCTATAAGTCAGTTCGTTCGTTGTCTGAATTAGTGTTACTCTCTGTCGATTCGTCGTGTCATGTCGGGTTTTGGTCTGTCGCCCGTTAGCCATCTTTTAGAAAGCAAAGAAAAATATTATTAGTTAGTTTTATTGTCATTTTCGGCTTTGACAACAGCGGCAAGAAGGGTAGCCATCCACTCCGCCGCCTCCTGATCCCAATCTTCGTCGTCTGGTAACGGAGGTGGCGGAGTGAAGCAGGCGTACTGATATGACTCGATGTTATCTGAGTCATATCCGTTTTCGTCGAACTCGTTTTTGTCATTGTCCGATACCTCGTCTCGTTCGTGGTGGCGTTCGTCCGACCTTTGAACACAAAATGTCGTAATTAGTTATATCATGTCTAGGAGGAAGTGCTTAAATTATACAAAAAAAAAAAACATTACCAAGCACTTATAACTAGCCGTAGAATTTATGAACCGGCCGTAATAATATCACACAAGATAGTATACTGTTAACACATGGGACAGTAACACGGTAACAAACCCTATATGGCGGTATCTGTTGAGATAGATGATCTGTAGGACAAACATACGAATATACAAACACAAGCGGGGAATCATTAAGCGTGACGCGGGATGGGACGTGACGTACTGCGGAATCATGACAAGAACAAACATCAACATCACTTGACTGGCTCAATTAGTCACATCACAACATCACCGGGTACACAGCACCAGGTTCTGTTCGATCAGAACAGATTTTAATATACCGTAAGAGCCCCCAGTGTGATTTAAGTGGTCCCTGTGTGTGTACCCAAGTGTTTCTCCCAAGTGTTTTAGTTGCGTTACGTCTAGGGGATTCGTAGATAAAATGTCTGCTGCCACACCGAGTGCTTTAATTACGTTACGTCTAGGGGATTCGTAGATAAAATGTCTGCTGCCACCCGCGATGATAGTTCACCCGGCCTACTGATCTCTGCCCAACACACCCGTCCCTCTGCCCCTCTGTACCATCCATCACACCATCACACAAAGACACGTACAGTGGGCTAAAATATATTCGAACAGGCCGAAAAGGGTAAACGTCAATAATTGAACAATTGCCTGGAGTCCTTAGAAGCTAAAAAGTAAACGTTGCCGAAAAAGGCGGACTCAGGCTGAGAATACCCGGTATATGTTACCGTGGTAGTAAATAAAAGTGGCCGAAATAGGGTGCTAAAAAACACATAACCGAACAATATGCCGAAGCACAAGGTTACCGAAAACAGAATGACCGAAACAGTGTCAAGACAGTGCCGAACAAGTATTCGGAACGGAATGGGCCGAAACAGTGCCGAACAAGTTGCCAAAACAGTGCCAAAAGTAATCGAAACAGAATGTCGAAACAGTGCCAAACCAAAATGGCAAAATCACCAAAGTGTAGAGCGCTTATTGGTCGCTCGATTATGTACCGAGCTCTTCGGTTGTTTGGGGTGGGTAAAGCTGAGCCTTGGCATCGGGGGAGTGTTTGTTGGTGGCTCCATCCGTAGGCCGTAGTCTTGCGCTCTGAAAAAGGGAGAAGTTAAACGGACACGATAACGCCGTGTAGTTTATCGGCCCGGTTCACCTCGTACGTACTATGGGCCTGTGGAAAGTGCTAGGGGAAACTGTAAAACCTGTAAAGAATACTAGGGTAGCTTGGTGAATAGCCTGGGCCTGTTGTCGCCGGAATCAGTATCTGTAAATAGAGAACGTTAGTGGGGATGAGGTATGACCTCAGCTTTGGTCGGCCGTGCCGACCAAAGGTGAGGTGACTTAAGACTTACATTGTTGGGTTGCTGGTGGAGCGTTCAGTCGAGTCGGAGCACTGCACAGTAGGCCGGACTGGAGCGAGAGTGACGCTGGCTTGGAGGTTAGCCCTTTTATACGCCTCCAGCAGCCGTTCTCGCATACATTATCGCTTGTTGTCAACCCACGCCTTCCTCGTTTATCTCGGTCTGACCTCGGTCTACCCTTCTCCCGTCTGTCCCAACGTTGTTTTTTATCAGGGTTTGTCTGCTTCTAATCTGCATATCCGCCACCACACTACCGCGCTATTTTATGGTGCCATTGTCTACTTCTAATCTCCTTTACGCATACCCATCACCACAATATCCACCACCACAAACAGGTTGCACATTGTCATTGTGTTCTTCTCTCGTTGTTTTTTGGTCAGGGTCGGCTTCTCTGCTGCGGTGTGGCACAATGTTGTATGTGGCAAGTGAGGTCGACACACACACACACACACACATTACAAGGCAGCAGTGCATACAGTTTAACTAGACCGAAGCGCTATTTTTTCACACTTCCAACGGGCTGTGCACGGCAGCCTACTAAGCGGTCGCTAATAGTGTGCCAAATTTGGGCTCAATCGGCCCAGCCGTTCACGAGATCTGGAAGCAGCATCCTGCACGTGCGTATGTGCAGTAGTACCCTAACCGTAACACATATGAATACTTTGCCTGGTGGATGCCTACCTACATGCCAAGTTTCAGCGAAACCGCCCCAGTAATTACCGAGTTATTGTAATAGGAACAAATTTGACACCTCTTATTTTTGCATTTTGCACGTGCACTGGGGGTGACCCACATGCATCGAGAGTATCCGACCTTTGGGAAGGGATGTAACCACCATACAAAAACTACCGCATGTCAATTGCCCAAGCGGCTGCCGAGATATAGGCATTTAAAAATCACCACTTCTGCAAAACAGCTTGAACACCCCTGACGTTTCCCGTGCCGGTGCCATGTGTCACGACGGTCACCTAGATGCATCGAGGGTAGTCAATTATGGAGTAGAAGGGATGGGGCTACCCAACAAAAAAGACTGCAGGCCAATCGGTCGAGCGGTTGTTGAGATATGAGCCTCTCAAAATCGTTACAGGCGGCCGGGTCGGGCCGGGTCGAGACGCTCATACCGAGATTTTTTCGTTATGTTGAAAAGACTTCGCTTCGCTCGCTCGTAATTATCCCAGAGACTGAAGTCAATGCCAGTCAAATTATGCCAAGCCGTGTAAAGACAAACTAGAAAGTTATGCTGACCGTCCCGACTCCGAGATAGGTAAGCATTTCTTGACCACGACCCAGGTGCCAGGCGTGTGCTGCGTGCCTTGCGGTACAGCATATCTGCAGGCGTTTTACCTCTGGCGCCATCTATTGACAGCAATTTAAACCGCCAAGCGCATTTGTGTCTTTATCGGTCTCTCGCTCTCTCTCTCTCTCTCTCTCTCTCTCTCTCTCTCTCCTCTCTCTCTCTCTCTCTCTCTCTCTCTCTCTCTCTCTCTCTCTCTCTCTCTCTCTCTCTCTCTCTCTCTCTCTCTCTCTCTCCTGCGCGGACCCACCTGACGGCCATTCTTTCTCCGGCAGGTCTGGGCTCGGCCTCGCCGTTCCTGCACGTGCTGGGCCGCCAGCTGGGGTTCACTCAGGTGGCCATTGGCTGGGTGTTCGCCTCGGCGCCGTTCCTGGACATGCTCTGTAAGCCGCTCATCTGCAGCTGGGCGGACCGCCGCCAGGCCGCCCGGCTCGTCTTTCTGGTGATCCTCTCCGTCACCACCGTGGCGCTCACCTCTGTGGTGCTGGTGCCGCCGCTGCCGGCTGCCGCTAACTCGACTCTGACGAACGCCAGCGACACCAGCGACCCTGGCGGCGGATCGGGGGACCTGCGCCAGTACCAGTTCTGGCTGTACGCGATGCTGGTACTGGTGGCGTGGATCGGCGTCAGCACCAATCAGACCATGGCCGACGGCATGACCGCCAGGGTGGCCGGTGAGTACCGCGCAGGGCAGCCAGGGTGGCCGGTGAGTACCGCGTAGGGCAGCCAGGGTGGCCGGTGAGTACCGCGTAGGGCAGCCAGGGTGGCCGGTGAGTACCGCGTAGGGCAGCCAGGGTGGCCGGTGAGTACCGCGTAGGGCAGCCAGGGTGGCCGGTGAGTACCGCGTAAGGCAGCCAGGGTGGCCGGTGAGTACCGCGTAAGGCAGCCAGGGTGGCCGGTGAGTACCGCGCAGGGCAGCCAGGGTGGCCGGTGAGTACCGCGTAAGGCAGCCAGGGTGGCCGGTGAGTACCGCGTAAGGCAGCCAGGGTGGCCGGTGAGTACCGCGCAGGGCAGCCAGGGTGGCCGGTGAGTACCGCGTAAGGCAGCTAGGGTGGCCGGTGAGTACCGCGTAGGGCAGCCAGGGTGGCCGGTGAGTACCGCGTAAGGCAGCCAGGGTGGCCGGTGAGTACCGCGCAGGGCAGCCAGGGTGGCCGGTGAGTACCGCGTAAGGCAGCTAGGGTGGCCGGTGAGTACCGCGTAGGGCAGCCAGGGTGGCCGGTGAGTACCGCGTAAGGCAGCCAGGGTGGCCGGTGAGTACCGCGCAGGGCAGCCAGGGTGGCCGGTGAGTACCGCGTAAGGCAGCTAGGGTGGCCGGTGAGTACCGCGTAGGGCAGCCAGGGTGGCCGGTGAGTACCGCGTAAGGCAGCCAGGGTGGCCGGTGAGTACCGCGCAGGGCAGCCAGGGTGGCCGGTGAGTACCGCGTAAGGCAGCTAGGGTGGCCGGTGAGTACCGCGTAGGGCAGCCAGGGTGGCCGGTGAGTACCGCGTAAGGCAGCCAGGGTGGCCGGTGAGTACCGCGTGGGGCAGCCAGGGTGGCCGGTGAGTACCGCGTAAGGCAGCCAGGGTGGCCGGTGAGTACCGCGTAGGGCAGCCAGGGTGGCCGGTGAGTACCGCGTAGGGCAGCCAGGGTGGCCGGTGAGTACCGCGTAGGGCAGCCAGGGTGGCCGGTGAGTACCGCGTAGGGCAGCCAGGGTGGCAGGTGAGTACCGCGCAGGGCAGCCAGGGTGGCCGGTGAGTACCGCGTAGGGCAGCCAGGGTGGCCGGTGAGTACCGCGTAGGGCAGCCAGGGTGGCCGGTGAGTACCGCGCAGGGCAGCCAGGGTGGCCGGTGAGTACCGAGTAGGGCAGCCAGGGTGGCCGGTGAGTACCGCGTAGGGCAGACCAAGGCTGTATGAGCAGACCCGAAACGATAGCAGAGCCGCCAATCAGCACCACCGTCGCCGCTCATTTCGAGCGGTCGCATTTTACGGCCTTTTATGAAATCAGCCGCAGGTGCAGGCTCACTGCCAGGCGTGTGCCGCGTGCCTTGCGGTACAGCATACCTGCAGGCGCTTTACCTCTGGCGCCATCTATTGGCAGCAATGTAATGGGGCTGAAGTGGATCATCGATGTCCGAGAAGTTGGATTCTTGTTTCTCATTGGCATTAATGGGCTATAAAACGCAATTAAATATGAACATCGCACTCTCACAGCTGATAATTAGCAAAGAATGCCAAAAGTAGCTTGTGCCTTCCCCGTTTTTTAGTTTTTTTTTTCTCAGCGGCCGAAGGGGAGGACACTGGTTCCCATGCTCGTGACATGGCGGTTTTTGCGGCAATAGCTTTGAACGCCCTACAAGTAAAGAACGGATCATGCCAAAGTGATTTACCAAAACCGGACCCCCGTCTTTGAGTCTTCGACCTGGCCTGAGAGGTAAGGTTCGGGTCGACCTGAGTGAGACCTTCAAATTTAGCGCTAATTGCTATTCTCGTGACGGCGCATACGTTTATTTTTCTGCGAAGCTCTAGCTCAAGAGTAAACGGTGGTGGGGTCATGGCTGTCAATACAGCCCATATCCAATCTGCAGCTTCAGCCTGCATTCATCCCAGATTCGGGATACCCCGGGACGACTGTTCAATTCTTCAATTGCGTCGGACACAAATTCGGACACACTCTCGTGTTAGGAAATACGAGCTCCAAACCATTCTGTGACACTCTTCGGCGTTTGAAACGTCAACAAAGGTCACGGCCCCCCAACTCTGCACAACAGATGTGTGGCATAGAGCTAGCGCAGATGATGGCATCAAACGACTCGCCAGGACATGGGGCTACTGTCCTGCTACCGGCTGTACCCCCAAAGGTCATGTGATGACCTTAGGTAATATACGGGTGGAGTCGATGTTACATATTTACCAGCGCTTTACAGGAAAAGTTACTACGGTCAATCGGATTATGTGCCGTAGATCGCAATTATTCCTCCTCGCATAAGATTAAGAACTTCTGTTGTGCAAGTGTTTGTTTTGACGTGACCCTTTAATGACCCTTGGTCCCTGCGTGACTTGAAAGTTCAGATTGACGGTTGACCAGTAGCTTGACGTCATGACGAGTCGTTTACTGCCATATCGATATGCCAGGATTTAGCTCAACTGGGTGGGCAAATTTGGGGACCGTGAGCTTTGTTTGACCTCTCTTTAGGTCAAGCGGCTTGGAGTGCCACCGAACAGTTTGGGTTACGCATCCCCTACCGCAAGGGATCTGTTGTGTGTGAGTTTTAACCCGCGCCCCGTTGGGCTCTGCCGAGCAACGCGCCCTGTTGGGGGGGGGGCAATTTGGCCCCCCCTAAGATCTCGAGAACCACGCAACCTAGCGACAAGCGGTAAACGGTGTTGGATAGCCCTACCAGGGAACTACCTTGTGACCCAATTTTATTGACCTAGGTCAAATCGATGACGTCACAGGTCAGGTCAAAGGTCGAATTGTCACCGTTTACAGGCATTTCAAGAAATGCGTTGTAAAATCGAGTAAAATACATTTCATTGAAAATCATCGATGGGGAAATGTTCTTAAAACACATATTTTGCTAGTTGAGGTCACTGATACCAGGTCAGGTCACAGAGGTCAGGTCACTGGTGGGTCACAATATGAAAGTGTCGTGTGATACATGTTTTATGGTTCATTTTACATGACAAATGCGATTATGTGGGTCAGGCAGCCTTTGGGGCCAGCTTAGGTCACGTTTTGGTCAAGGTCAGGTCAAGGTCAGGTCAAGGTCAGGTCAAGGTCAGGTCAAGGTCAGGTCAAGGTCAGGTCAAGGTCAGGTCAAGGTCAGGTCAAGGTCAGGTCAAATTAGGTCAAATTTCAAAGTTGATATTTTTGCATAAAATGGGTATCGAATCTATGCAACTCGTCACGGGGAGTTCAATTTGACGTCAAAAATTTGACGTTATCATTTTTGAACAGTTTTTTCGCTATAACTTGGCCAAAAAACGAGATATCGATCTGAAATTTGGTATGTATATAGAAGAGCGCAGGAACTATCACATTTATTCCGTTTTTTCGAAATTCGGATTTTTTTTTAGTTTTTCTAAAAAATATTTTTTATTGAATTTTTGGGGGTCAAAAACCCAAAATTTTGAAAATCCGAGATAGCAGTTTTGTAGCGCCGTTTTTGTCTACTAGACCATATAAAGAACTTTGAAATTGCTTGATAACTGTAGATTTGGTGAGCGTTTCAAGATTGCATGTTTTTTGCTCATTTTTGCTCGAACTTGACCTCAGTTTGACCTAAGGTGACCTAAGTCATCAATAACTCCTGACCTAAGGTGACCTAAGACTTGAAGTTTGGTGTGAAGGTGTCAAATCGATGCCCGGGAAGGTACTGAAAATTTGGCGGCGCTGCGCGCCGCCGTTTTCTGGCTATTCAGGAAAAACCACAGGGGGGGGGGGCAAATTGGCCCCCCAACGGGGCGAGAGTTAAGTGATCCGAAGTCCGAAGTGACTGGAATCTGTGCTCAGTTAAGGCCGTATTGACACACTCGAACTATTTGTACCCCTCTCGGTTGAAAAGTACAGTCCACAGCAGAAGTACATAATGTACGGTTTCAGTCATGGGTATGTTCTGCTTCTGAAGCTTAGGAACAATTAGCTAGACTACAATGAAACTTTGAATGTAGCTTACATGTATCGTCACCCATACAGCTGCAACTTTATCCATTGATGCCTTCTTTTCAATCACTCCGCAAAAAAAATCGCCAGTCAAAGCCATCCGTTCAGATTAGTAAAACCGCACATTACTTTAGCGGTGGACTGTACACTGTACATACATACGCATAAAACTAATATGTTTGGCTCGAGTGTCTAAAGGTCTGTAAATGAGTGAATGAATTTGAATGACTAATTACCAACGCCGACAATTTAAAGTGCGGTGTGCAGCCATAAGCCATCAGCCGGGCACGGCTTTTATCAATGTTTACCGTCATGACCGCTGTAACATTGACATTGATTAGTGTGGAGTCTGATCGGGTCATCGCTCTGCCGAGTGCATTCATGCTGAGACACAGGCATGCAATGGCATCAGTGTACAACGCGGAGATGCGTCGTCACTCCTTCGGCCTCGAGCAAGCATAATAAACTACCAGCTAAGCTACATATACTGTACCGGCTGCCAGCAGCATCCCGATCATCGGCTGAAAGCCAGCGAACGGGCGGCAGTCGTCCTAGTTGTCGTCGTTTATCAAGCTACTTATGATTTTCCAAACAAAATAATTTAGCATATGCATATCACCAATGCTACATCCTTATCCATAGATATAAAGTGGGGAACACGATCAAATCTTCAGAATTCCTCAGATACAGGGAACTTATGTGTTTATCACTCGCCGGACCATCGCCGGACCGCGGCCGAGGGGGTCGATTGAACCCACCACGCTAATGCGCCGCTAAAATTCAACTAGAATTTAGCGGTAAAGTGGTCGTATGCGCCATTACAAGGCAGAGTGACTGGTAGGAATCCATCCACTGAAAGTGTCTCAGGTTAACCGGTGACCTCTGAGGTCAGGTCAAGTGGCCAAAGGCACGGGATCGGTTTTTGGTAAATAACTTCGCCAAAAAATGGTCGCAGACCCACGGTTTTGGAAGCATCGTGTTCGGCTAGCTCAGACGCGTCGAGTGGTATACTTTTTGTACGGGTGAGGTCAAATTAAGGTATTGACCTCGTGACAAGGTCAGGTCAGAGCTCTCTGGTCATGAAGCTGGTGGGGTATGGTCATGTTGCCTATCATTCGATTCGGCAGGTTTTTCTGAGTCCATTTAACCCTCGCATGTGTAGGGGGGGGGGGTCGGATGGACCCCCCCATGGTTTTTCGCGAATAACTCGCGTAAAAAGCGGCCGATCGCGACGAAACTTTCAGTACCCTCGCATCGATCAATTTGACACCTACCCTGAAAATTTCATGACCCTAACCCAAATGACCTTTGACCTGTGACCTCTTTTCCGAGACCATGTTTGGCCGGAATCGCGATTTCGCGTATGTCGGCTCGCACTAGCCGCGTGTTTGCAAGCTTTTCGTGGTTTCAAACGTTCAAACATGTGATTTGATGTTACTCCCGTGTGTGTCAAGGTCACCTGAAGGTCAGGTCAGGTCATTGACCTTTGGTGACCTCGGGTGACCTCGGGTCACTTTTTCGTGCTTTACATGTTTCTAGGCTAGTTTTTGGAGCTGAATTCGAATTTAGCAACCATTTGAACATTTACGAAGTAGTTTTGGTGACTTCGTAACATGTTACGAAGCTGTCAGAGGCGGTTGACACGTACTACGAATACCCGTCACGACGCCTACTGGTTGACCTGACCTGACCTGACCCGACCTGGTCTAAATGCTTCAAGACATCATCTGTGATCAAAACTTACACGATATTCGTGATCAGCACCCCGAAAAACCCTTTAGCAGCCACACTTTACGACTTTCTAGCAGGTCCCGATTTTCCCGACTTTAGGTCATTGACCTGACCTGGAAGGTCAACCAATGACCTAGGACCTTAAAATTGGGTATCATCGGCTTCCTCTCGTCACGGGCAACACGCTCGTTTTTTCCGCGAAGCTCTAGCTCGATCAGGGGCCAAACGGCAAGGGGGGGGGGTCCAACCGACCCCCCCCCTACACATTAGAAGCTGGCAAACGCCGCACACATGCGTGGGTTAAAGGGACTATCCAACCTTTAACATGGGGCTTGAGTTGATATAGCCAAGTTTGCGGCGAGGTTCAGAAACCACTATCTATCTAGGTTGCAACCCGCGCGGCCTCTTGGTGTTGAAGAAATTCGTTCCCTTCATTTGAAAATGGGCCTTGTACAAGGCCCTATCTTCAACATGGAGCGACCGTTAGTGTGACGTCACCTCGTTTAGTCATTCTGATTTAAATGGGTTTGTTCGTTAAAAAATCGCTTAAAACTTGGTCTGAACTTTGTTGTGGTGCCTACAGAGTAAAAAGAATCAGCTTTATGACAGTAATGTGGCCTGGGGAGGGAGGTAATTTTGGGCTGTGACGTCACATATTTGAAAGTTTGTGTTTGGAATATGGGAAGCCTAAGATGTTTAATGAAAAATAAATGCCAGAACCGTGTTCCTGGTCATCCAATCTATAAAGTCGGGCACAATTTAACGTATATAGTAAACGACTTTAAGGCTTTCCCGATTCGCTAGCTCAATTTGGTCGGGAGTAATTGAAGAAAAACTTACGACCCTAGTGACGTCATAAATTACGTCACGCAAGGGTAACAATGCAAATGTGAAACATCGAACCTTGCAAGGAGTGCATGAAATCACGATTTTATATGCTTGAGATAGTTTCTGATCATTCCCGGCGCCAAAATAGCAATTTCCATATTTCCCGATTGACTTATAAGGGTGAGGTCACGTGACCGACCTGACCTCATGTGATCATGTGGAAAACGTCCGAGATCTAGGTATACGTTGTGAGAACTCTGGAGGATACCAATTACCAAGTCCTGTAAGTTTCATCTCCCTGTAAAAGCGTCTCTGGCACTGAGTACATTGCAAAGTTGCTACATAACGTATATAAGACCGTGGAGAGGTTCACTTATGACGTCATAGGTCAGTGACCTGACCTGGCCTGTAAATGTGGTTGGTGTCACAAGGTCCGCCTTGAATCAAAGATCAGGTATGCCATGTTTCAGCTCTAACTGCTAAATCGAACGGTATGCGACACGACACTCGAACAGTTTCGTGACCTGAGGGGTCTGGCGCGACCTTGAGACGAGGTCAACACCTTAAATTGACCTCACCGAAACAAAAAGTATACTACTCGACGCGCCTGAGCTAGGCAAACACGATGATGCCAAAATCGCGGCCCTGTGGCCATTTTTTGGCGAAGTTATTTACCAAAAACTGAACCCGTGTCTAAGGTCACCCGACCTGACCTAAGACGTTACCGATTAACCTGAGACCTTAAAAGTGGATATGCATCTGCGGTAGGTAGTTAATTGAAATTTAGAGTGCGCGATGTACGGCCAACGGCCAACATGTCTAGTAGTAAGTCGTTGTTGACGGAAGCCCTTGACAGAGCGGCTAGATGGGTGCCGGGTTGGCACGGTTGGCCGCTGAGTGACTGTGTGTTGTGTCCTCACTCCTCAGAGCGGCTGGCCGCTGGATGCTGCCTGTCTGCCGCCTGTTCTCAGAGCGGCTGGATGCTGCCTGTCTGCCGTGTTCTCAGAGCGGCTGGATGCTGCCTGTCTGCCGTGTTCTCAGAGCGGCTGGCCGCTGCCTGTCTGCCGTGTCCTCAGAGCGGCTGGATGCCGGTTTCTGTGGACGGAGGGGTGACTCTACTGATGTGTCCACAGAGCGGTTGGGCGCCGATTTCGGCCGTCAGCGCCTCTGTGGACGCTGGGGTGACTCTATGATGTGTCCACAGAGCGGCTGGGCGCCGATTTCGGCCGTCAGCGGCTGTGGGGCACGGTGGGCCTCAGCACCATGAGCACCGTCTCCGGCTACCTGATCGAGCTGACCAGCAGCGGCGGCACCACCAACTACAGCGTCGGCTTCTACGTGTGCGGCGCCTTCATGTCGCTCGACGTCCTCCTCTCCGTCTTCTTCTTCAAGGTCGGTGGCCCGGGGCGGGTCCGCAGTGGCGTCCTGGGTTGGGCGGGAAACGTGCGCTATTTATGGGAACTGGGAAGAATGCGTATATTTTGGTATGGTATGCTGAACGTCAATGTTCAGCTCGAGCTCACGGGGCCTGGTCCACTTACTACTTCGGACCGGGACTGGTGGCGGTCCCGCTGGCATACGCTGATGCTGGCAGTAGTGGGTGATGTGCGATGACCGTCTCATGTATTTTTACCTCTAGTGCGTACTGCGTAGTTGTTATCGAAACATACGTACCTACGCTGTTTATAAAATCAGCATATTTTGGGGCCTTGACAGTGATGGTACGGCATCATTAGTGGTCTGATCCATGGCAGATGTGAGCACTGCGCCATATGCCGTTTACTTATATATGTCCAGAGTGACATTCATCCATCTTAGTACTTACACATGTTGACGACCCTCAAATGGATCTACGACCTTGCACTTAAGGTTCTGACCTTAGACCTTTGACCTTTGACCTTTGACACATACCTACAAGACATACCTATATTTGTATTTATTTCATTAAAGAAATAGCCCAACGGCTTTCTGCTCATAGGTGTTTGAAACTGAGATGTGTCTTGCGCTTAGCTTACTGACAATCTGACAAACCAGTCGAGTCCTTCGAACGGCTTCAGTTCAGTCACTTTTTTGATTGGTTTGCTTAATTGGTGCATTTTTCGGCTAACCATTTGTACGAATTATTCGGCGAATTACTAGCTAAAATTGTGCGTTTAAAGGAAATAGTTCACTTTTTAACATGGGTTTTGAACTGGAATAGCAGTTCCGTAGCCTGGGCTGAGACGAGCATAAATCAGGAGCTTTTACAGCCCAACGATCACCCTAGGCAAAGATATTCTATTTCTCGTCCCGAAAAAGGTGTCTTGCGTTGAGGATGTGTGCCTTGCATATATTCGCATCCAGTATGAAAAGAGCATGGGTACCGAAAATTCTTCAGAAACTAGAGAAATTGTCTACGAGAACTCTAGAGAAATTCTCGTACTGATCAATAAGGACATTCAGCAGCAGCAGATCGTCCAAATGCCGGTGGCCGCGATCATTTCTCTAGTTTCTGAAGAATTTTCGGGACCCATGCTCTTTTCATACTGGATCGCCTGTGCCTTACAAAAACTGAAAAGTTCTTCTTATTATCAAAATATAGAAAATAATCTTTTGTTATAAATAGGTTTTATTTTCTTTGCTGATCATTTTGAACATAAAAAATCATAAATCCATTGCAAAAAAAATAATTTCGTGAAAGTGAACTATTTCCTTTAAGTTGCGCATGAGTGACAATGACAAAGATATAATGGCTCATTCAGCCCCATTCCTGGCAGTGCCCTGCAATTAGCACGGGATATATCACACATGAATAGTGAACAACTAGGTTAGTCATACCAATCACTAATATACCCTGGCAGATCCCAAGGCTGGGAGAGGGGGAGATAAACCGCTACTGTGACCTGTCAGGTCACACTGCCTAGCCCCTTCTCCTTAAAAGTTCCAATGAAGCCTCTTCCTACCCTGACAGGTCCTATACAGGGAGTGCAGATGTCTATGACCTCTCCCTCTGGTAGATCCCGCCGGGTGTTCAGACCCCTCCCCTCCTCTGACAGGTGCCGCAGGGGGTGCAGAAGCCCACCACCCCTCCCCTCCCTCTGGTAGCTCCTCAGGGTGTTCAGACCCCCCTCTGACAGGTGCCGCAGGGGGTGCAGAAGCCCACCACCTCTCTGGAGCTGGTGGCCGCCCTCCGGCACTGGCCCGTCTTCTGTTTCGCCGCCTGCTGTACAGCCATTGGCATCTGCACCGGCCTCCTCTGGAGCTTCCATATCTGGTCAGTGGCCGGGCTGCCAGAGCCGCCCCGGGTAGGCTCTTCTATTTAACTTTTCCTGATTGGTGCTGTGCCTCAAGCTAAGCTGATTTGCACCCTGGATCTGTACTTACGCTCCTGATAAAGCGGGCAGCTCCGTGCGCCTCGGTGCGTCTCTCAGGTTGCTCAGTGCGCGCTCCCCCCTCGGTGCGTCTCGCAGGTAGCTCAGTGCGCGCTCCCCCCTCGGTGCGTCTCGCAGGTACCTGGAGGACCTGGCGCGGACCGCCGGCTATCCGCCCAGCCGAGTGCAGCTGCTCGAGGGGCTGACACTGCTGGTGAAGGGCCTCGGCTGCCAGATTCCGCTCATGTTCATGTCAGGTGAGTTGGTGCGCGGCTCGATCGCGCTCCGTACCGATGGTGCTGCTACCTGGCGGATGTTTTTTCCCCGCTAGGTGGCACTGAGGTAATAGAAGCCCTGGTCAATGCCATTGGCCATTGGCCAATGGTATTTCGGGTATTATGACTGACTTTATGCCCTCCTTCAGGTGCCGTGCTGAGACGACTGGGCCACAAGACTGCTCTGACGGTCAGCATGGCCTCTCTGGGGCTGTACTGCGTGCTGTACTCGCAGCTGGTCGACCCGTGGTACTGCCTGCTGATGGAGCCGTTGGCCGGTACGTCGCACACCGCTGGAAAAGTCAGAGCTCAGTGTCAAAAATATTATTTTTGTCTGATGTATTCTATCAAAGCGTGAAATTCTAAGGTTGTCTCCGAGTGCTTTTCATTGAACGACTATCACCTCTGAGCACGTCTGACCGCTGATAATTTCCTTCACCGTCTCCGTCCCCTTTCGGCAGGCGCTGCGTTCGGCCTGCTCTACCCGGCCATCGCCTCGTACGCCTGCAGCATCGCTCCACTGGGCACCGTGGTCACCACACAGGCCATCATGGCCGCCTCCTTCGACGGACTGGGTGCGGCCATATTGACGACCACGCGCGAGAATGCTCGGGTGATGTGTGACAGTTGCTCAGAGAATCCGCGAGGGCAACGTATCAAATCATTCGCCAAAGTCACAGGTTTTTATTTTCACGGTTGAATTTAGGAGCCATAATTAATTTGCGGCAGAAGGGTTTCGTTTTTAAACGAGGAATGCTTTAATTTTTACGTCATTGTCCGTCCTGGAGACTTTTTCCTGGAAGCTGAAACACATACCTGTCGGCGTGGGGACCGTGTGTGTTTTGGGTGGGAACTGGGTAGCCCCTGTTTGATCATCGCGTGTCTGCATACCCCGCTCACAGGTGTTGGTGTGGGCACGCTGCTCTCTGCCTACGTGTTCTCGCGGTACGGTGGCTCGGCCACGTTCCTGTCGTTCGGTGTATCGGCGCTGATCGTGGCTGTCCTCTACTGGAGCATCTCCAGCCTGGCGGAGCGGTTCGCCACTCAGGGTGAGCGGCAGCCACCTCATCATCACCGGGAGCAGGGCGTACCAACAGGGCGACCGAGGACCAATGGTTGTGACTTATTTTATTTGACATTTATCCTAATTTGTACCCGATAGTAACGTTAGTTTGCTAATGGTTTGCTAAATGTTTTTGACACTTCAATTACAGTTACAAATACCGTGTGAGCCGCAGTGGTGTAGTATTGCTTTTAAAATGTACCTATGTAAAGAAGGAACGGAAACACTTAGTCGATTTTTTTGGCATTCAATATTTTTTTTTTATACATTTACCTTTTTCTCCGCAGACGCGGAGCCGGCCATTGTGTTCGCGGAAGACGGTGCCATCGACGCGACGCCGTCCCAGGTCGCCCTGATCCCTGAGGACCAGCAGGGAGGCGGGGATGAGGACTCAGTGTCCTCGGCCGCTCCTCCGGCGGTAGAGGACGACCAGTCCTCCGCGGTGGTGTTTCTGCCGGGAGACACGTCCTCCGCGGCCGGAGAGGTGAGCTGAGGAACTGTGTCCCCAGGTGAGCTGAGCAGCTGTGTCCTCCGGGAGGTGAGCTGAGCAGCTGTGTCCCCCGGGAGGTGAGCTGAGCAGCTGTGTCCTCCGGGAGGTGAGCTGAGGAGCTGTGTCCTCCGGGCGAGCTGAGCAGCTGTGTCCTCCGGGAGGTGAGCTGAGCAGCTGTGTCCTCCGGGTGAGCTGAGCAGCTGTGTCCTCCGGGAGGTGAGCTGAGCAGCTGTGTCACCCAGGTGAGCTGAGCAGCTGTGTCCTCCGGGAGGTGAGCTGAGCAGCTGTGTCCTCCGGGAGGCGAGCTGAGCAGCTGTGTCCCCCAGGTGAGCTGGGCAGCTGTGTCCTCCGGGAGGTGAGCTGAGCAGCTGTGTCCTCCACTGGGGACTTTGATGTATGTACGTATAGATAAGCCGAGTAGCTGCTCCGAGGGCCACCAAGGTGTATCTGATCGTGTAGTTGCGCTCAGGGTGAGGCGGATAACGCCTCCTTTACAACTGGATGTATATGTATAGGCATCGTGCGACGTTTTGCGTCAATAGTTTATAGTACAACGTATGCGCTCAGTAAGAATAGGTCAAAGCATAGTGTAATAAATAACAATGTTATTTATCACATTATCTTAAAAGTTCGAGCTTATCAGGGGATATGTTCATAATGATATGAATATGAATATGACGTGTAATTGTTCGTGATGACGTCTACGTGTATAAACGCACATACATTTTTATATATTGTATGACAGGGACAGTTGTAGGAATTTATGTGCTGAGTAGTCTGAATACATTTATACCGTGGACATCTTCTGCCCTATCGCCACATCAAAATCTAGTCTGAATACCAGACGGTTGTGTCTCAACACTAGCCGGAACTTGTGTTGGTCGTGCCTAGACGCGTCGAATGATATGTATATCTTTTCTGTTTGGGTGAATTCAGCTTGTAGTGCTGACCTCAGGTCAAGGCCAGGTCAGAGCCAGTCAGCTCATGAAGCTGGTCGATGGAGGTCATGCTGCATATCATTCGATTCGGCAGGTCATTCCCAGTTTAATGGTGGCTATTCCGATTCATGAGCTCAAACTACATAATCAGGGGTTATCGACGTAAAACAATCGATGAATTGTTTGACTTCACCTATGACTTCACTTCACTATGACGTTACGCAAGGTCCCGGAATAACTCATTAACATTTTCGCCAACAAAGGTGTATTCACTGCTGTCTATCTCCAATCATCCTCTGTCTCTCTCTCCTCCGAGCCCTCTCGCCACCACCCAGCTCCCAGGCTCCCTCCCTCTCTCGCCACCACCCACCTCCCAGGCTCCCTCCCTCTCGCCCCCACCCAGCTCCCAGGCTCCCTCCCTCTCTCCAACCACCCAGCTCCCAGCGTCTCCTCTCCCTCTCTCCACCACCCAGCTCTCTGCAGCCTCTCTCCTCGCTCTCCGCCGACCGCCGCGGGCGTCTCTGCCACGCGGTGTGCACGAGTCAATAACCCCTGCACCGAGGGCGCGGCGGAGCGGCACTTCGACCGACCAGCCTCTGTGGCAGCAGCAGTGGGCCGGCCTCAGTGGCACCAAGGTCGATCGTTTTTAGACACCTTTTAATGCGGCAACGTTTTCGCACCCGTTATTAAAATTCCAGACTCAAGGTCTTTCAAGGTCAGGTCACCAGATCACGGCAAATGACCGTATTTCAGGGAAAAAGTTTTTATTGTTGTTAGTTGCAGCGACTTACCGTTGACTTTGAAATTTTCAGCGGAGGATTTTTTTTATATCAGTGAACTAAAGCTCAGCTCAATTTTGCGGCGGTCTTTTCATTTGGTTTAAGTCAATGGGAGAAAACTGAATTGTGCTTCTTTTGGACAGAAGTCATACTGTCAAAAGTCAAACTCTCAAACATCGGGTAATAGGTTAACTTACACATTGAACGGATGCCTACAGTTTGCACCTGTGACCCATTTATATGCCCTGAGGTCATTTTAGGTGTAATAAAAGGCTTCCAGCATTTTTCGACAATAACTTAGTGACCTGTAAGAGCAATGAAAAAAATATCGTATGTGTTAAAGGGACCCTCCCACCTTAACATTAGATTTGAGTTGAGATAGCCAAAATGGGGTCCCTGGCTCACAATTACCGGTTTCGGCACTCACAACATCGAGAAATGCCTTAAATCGGAAATATTGAATTTCAAAATTGCAGCATTTTGATTCAGAGGGGCTAATGCATAGGAATACCCCTCTGAATGTGTGACGTCAGCGCAGATATCTAACGATTTTTTAATGTTTGACTAAAACGTTTTGTAGCACGCGGTGGTATATGCTGCTTTGCGCGCAACAAATGCCGCATTTTCAAATAAAGTCGCTAGGAACAGCGGAGATCCCAAAAAGTAAACAAAAGTAAAAGTCTAATATCTTGAAAACCGGTGAATATTTTTCGATGAAATTTGGTAGATATTCGTTTTTGCTCTTTCTGAACCGAGCGACATCACTTTCATGCCAATTCATTAACTTTTTTGAAGGTGGGAGGGTCCCTTTAAGTTCGACTGGTCTGCAAAGGACATTCCCCGGTCGGGTCGTGTCTCTTTGGTAAACTTTTCAAAATATACTAAAAGGTCGAATGTTAGTTCGTTTGACACTTCTCGTCAAGCTGAACACGATATACCGGTAAAATAAAATGTCATGCAATTTTTGAGCCAGAAGTTATCGCGGAAAAACTGTTACCACAAGAACGTCCATTTTGATAGCATTTGCCCTCTTGTGAACGGGATGCGCTTAGGCACTGTAGCTCTACTCTTTTCGGAGTTATGCGCCGATTTGTCAAAACCTGTAGAAAGGCGAAATGTGACCTTTGATGACCTCTGGTGACCTGCCCTTATTCCTGACCAATAGTTGACGGAAATGCTCTCCTGGTTCTGAGCACTGTTTTAAATTTTAGTAGACATTATGCAAATTACAAAGGACATACAAATTTATGCAAATTGCAATGACAGTAGGTATGCAAATTTGCATAATAACAATGCAAGTTTTGAGCCACACATTGCCGAACAGATGAAAATTAAAAAAAAAAACGTAACATAGTATCGGGAGCTTTCGGCTTTGTGCCTTTATCAACAGTTAGGTGTGATGAAGTTTAAATCGTTAATATTTCATGGAAATTTTCACATAGACCGTTATGTGATAATCAACCTAACGGCTGATATAAAGGAACAAAGCCGAAAGCTACATTACTGTATTTCGTTTTTTGAATTTTTTATTTTTTCGGCAAATCCGAGATATGGGTTATTACCTTTTTATAATTATGAAATGCTTTCCTTATTATTTTTTGACGCTATTACGAATGCCGCTTACCGGGTGTCGCTAGGTAGCTAAGGAGCCGAGATAGGCCACTAATAGCTAGGGGGTGCTCAACACTTTCGGCCCGGCGTGAACGGCGTTGAGCACCGACCCGGCGAGGGTCATCATTTCGACAATTCGCCCACAGTAATTACTTCATGTGCATCCATATCATATATTTAATACCGGCAATCACAGCCCGTCTGGCAGTCACCGAGTGGCGCAGCTCGATTTCAGCCAGACCACTTCCATTGCTGTCGTCACCTTTTCACGCATACCTGGCACGTCGATCGTGGGCAGCATCATCAGATTGGGCTCAGAGGAGAACACGTAAAAACCCATCTCCTGCATGGCCAAAAATATCCCATAGAAACTACGATAAAAGTCCACATGCTTTTCCAGCGGCAGGTACTCCTTGAAATGCAGCTCTATGCCGATCTGTTCGACGTTTCTGAAAAGCGCCGACGCGCGCATCTGCTCGGTCTGCTGCCTGAGCACGCCGTACTCGGAGTACTCGACGTCCATCTTCAGGTAGTGGATGGTGCTGCTCCGGTGGCCCAGCCGCTCCACGAAGAAGTCGAGGGTGCGCACTTCCACGCCGTCCCTGCGCTCGTTGCGGTCGCCGACGGCCATCTGGGTGAACTGGATGGCGTCCTCGACCGGGCTGGAGTAGTTGACGAACGGGTCGAACGCCTGCACGTCGCAGCCGAACCGCTCCATGGCCATGTCGAACGACCAGTCGGTGGCGATACCGAACGAGTAGACGAGGCACTGGTCGCTGGAGCGCAGCGCGAACTCGGGGTCCAGGCAGACGAACTTGTGGCCGTCCATGGCCGGCGTTCCGTCATCGTCCCGCGTGTCCTGGCAATACGGTGAGGCATTAAGTATGTGTGGTCAAAACTGCAAACCCTAGACATAGAAATTTATCTGTGTTTCTTTGTTTATCTATTAATTTAATTTAATTTATTAATTCATCTTCCCTCAAACGGGTATTTGAAGTGACTGATAAAAAGTTACAGCCGTATAAGGAGTTACGGAACACCACCTGCTCCTTATTGCAATTACACTCCAAATAAAGTGTAAAAGCGACGCCACCGTCATTTTCATAACTCGCTTGTGAGCCTGAATGCAAAACATTCAGCAAAGATGCAATGCATCGCTAGGGACAACAATGTCTGAAACTATTTCTCCACAAAAATATAGACACGTTATGCCGCACGTTTCACGATCTGTAAATGAGTAATGCAGCGAATATCATAAGTTAAACGTCACGGCGAGTGCGCACGATGTGACCCCACGTACCCCGACGCCGCCGAAGCGGACCAGCTGGCGGCAGGCGCTGGGGTTTGGCGAGGTGAGGTAGGTGAAGAAGTCCCTGAACATGGTGCTGTCGTCGTTGGACAGCGGCGGCAGCAGGTTCACGGCCATGTCCGGACGGCAGACGGAGCCGGCGCCAGCCCTGTGAGGGGACGGGGACGGTCATTGGGCAGACAGCTCTACAGGGAAAGACAGGACGGTCAGCGGGCGGATAGGTATACAGCTTCGCGGGGAGAGACGGGGTTGATGGAGACTGTCATGTGGAGAAACGGTGACGGGGTGCAGTGGCGACGGTCATATTGAGAGACGGGGTGCAGTGGAGACGGTCATATTGAGATACAGGGTGCAGTGGCGACGGTCATATTGAGAGACGGGGTTGATGGAGACTGTCATGTGGAGAGACGTTGACAAGGTGCAGTGGAGGCGGTCATATTGAGAGACGGGGTGCAGTGGAGGCGGTCATATTGAGAGACGGGGTGCAGTGGAGGCGGTCATATTGAGAGACGGGGTGCAGTGA